AATAACTAACAGCTAACAATTAATATTCTCAAATATTTGTTAAAATTCAAAACCTAAAAAATATGTACGTAAAAGTTTCTTTCACTTCAACATTTTTCTGTTATTTTTAGTGAAAATTTTCCATGGATTTTTTTAGACAAACTCCTTTAGTGGAATTAAGAAAAAATATTTATGGGATTTAAATTTCATTCATGAATCTGAAGTATGTCGAGAAAAAATAAGCATTGCTAGTTTTTAGATTCGTTACAATGATAATTTATTTAATTAGATTAAAAACAAGCGGTGAATCACATTTTTCATGTTAAATTATGCTTATCACATATTCTAGCTTCTCACGTAGACAGTTGCGTGCAATGTATGGACTTGAGCTTTATTTTGATGTTCAAAACACGATGTTTTCATAAAGCAGCGACAAACTCAAAACGCAGAATATTTTTACAAAGCAAAAAAATGTCATTTAGATCACGAGTTTACAGCTGATAACTGCTCAGAAACCTTCTGTTTTKAAAGCACAAATATTTTACAAATCTTGGAGATTAAACCAAAAYTCCGTCGAATAATTTTTTATGCACACGCCAGTTGCTATATTATTTTTTCAAATTACATAAAACTATGGAATGAGTTGAAGTGAGCACTCACAGTAGTATTCTGGCGCATTGTCGATCTCGTTATCATCCGTGCCGGCGCTGATGCCGTTAATCGGTATCTGTGCAATAAGTAGAACACTTARCAGATATGAGAACACTTTGCAGGACATAATATTTGCTTTTGTTTATTTAATTTTGTTTATGGCTTAGCTTGRCAAACTGAAGCGCAACGCTCCTGGAGATACTTTGAAATGCACTTGTCGAACGCAAAACTTGCAGGTTTTTATGCACTTGACACTGTTATTTATATCAGCTAGAATTAGAAGYTTTCTAATGTGAATACAATAACACTTTAAGTAGACACGATCTTCCAAAAATTTCAATTTCTATTTTTGCCACACTTGACTGCGCGCCAGCTCGTTCACAACTGAATGTTCTAAATTATGCGATGTTTGCTTTTAAACAAATCTCCAAATTAACAACAAACATTTAATTGCTCGCTAGTATTGAACGTTTTGTTTATGCGATAGTTGTGTGTGTGTTTGTTTGTGCATTATAGATTACATATATATATGTATAGACACATGTATATCGGTTTGTATGTGTGTGGACACTGCTCTTTAATATTTTATTGAATTAATTATTGTTTAGCACAATTTTCTATTCTTTTATTTTTATTTATTTTCGTTGCTCAGCGACCAAGAAAGAACGCTCTTTCGCGGTTCGTTGCAATTCGATGAATGAATTTCTTCTCAGTTCAAATGAATGGTAAATGTTGCCGCTGGCGCTTGTCACTCGCGCGATTCGCACATTTGACGATCGCCAATGCCAAAGAGAGCGCCACTCTTGGGAGCGCATGGCACGAATTGCGCAAACACGTGTGTGTGTGTGTGTGTGTGTGTGTGCGTGTTGCGTGAACTCTTGCTCCTTTTCATGTTGGCTGAAGATCAACGAAAATCCCATTGAATTGATGAGTTATCAGTATGAAATTAGCGAATTTTTTGTTTCTCACAATATTTTCCTTTCCTTCGGTTAGAGTTTCTTATTTAATTGCACATGTCACAACAAATCGCGTGTGTGTTTTTGTAGTTATGTGTGTCAGAAAAATATGCGATTATTATTTGCAATTGAAGGCGTTACGTTACCCATATTTTTTCATTAATTCAATGTTTCATGTGTGTCATGAGACCAAAGCCATCACGTGGCCTTAACCAATAGCGCTGCAAATAGTTCGGGAGCAGCTAAGCGCAGCAGACAAGGAAGAGTTCCGGTTATATTGGGTTTWAATTGAACAGTCAAAGAACAGCAACAATAACAACAAAATGGAGGGAGTATTTTTCAATCGAAATAAGCTGCATAAACAATTATATAATATATGGCATATATAAAATGTATATACATCCATACATACATATGTATAAATAAGCTACAAAAGTTCAAGAAACTATTGAAATGTGTGGACTGTGCTATAAAATTGCAGTTATTGAACTCTATTACAGGCGCAGTAATTATCTATTATTAACTCCTAATATCGCCGTGCAATAATATTTGCATCTTTTATTGCACATGAACAATTTATGGGCATATACATACATTCATACAAACTAGCATACTATATGTAGGAATGTGCGTACACCGCAGACCATTCACAGTCACCAAACAATCACGTCAAAGTGTTTACACACTGACTCGTCTAGTAGATCCATAATGCCATTTAATAAGCGGCTTTGTTTTGGTTGTTTTGGTGGCGAATACAACACCAATGGCGCGTTTATGTATGCAACACGCATGCTAATTTATTTGTGGCGGTATTTCCATGAAAAATACTATTTGTAATATACCAACGACAATAAGAAACATATACATACGTACTAGAGTATATACAAACATAAGTCTCGGCTTTTAGAGACACTTTTTCCAATAAACTAGGTATAAGTTCTAGGTTCCTGTTTATTTCAAAAATTAATGCTTCTTATCTGAAATGAAAAAAAGTATTTTGTTTTAATCAAGAAGCTTTTATGAATGGATAGTAGAAGGGTTTTGAGAATTTCGAAACATTGGCGATATAGGCCTGGATTTTGTAAAACATGCCATTTTTACGTATGTTTCAAATAACTAAAAAACTGTCAAAATTCCATTTTTCTCRGGAAAGCGCTCTATCACGCACYTGAGTATACAATTGTCTATAAAATATGCTTCAGTTCAAGCAAATCGGTTAAGTAATTCGCTCGCAATTTTGACGGCCGGATACAAAAATTTAGTTCCCATAAATCGAAGCTCAAAGTTTTGCCTATACAGTCGCTGCATGAAATGCAGTGGTTCTGGGTGCTATTTCTTTGAAAATATTCGGAGTAAGCCAATGACAATTCGGAACTATATGTTTTTCAATTTATTAGAGGAAAAATTTTAGGGGTATCTCCCCCCATAAGTCGACACACTCCAGTTGTGCGTTGTGATTTTTACAATGGATAAAAAATCGAACAAAGCATTTGTATTTCTAACCAAGTTTCATGAGCGAAATCATTGCGAATGTAGGAAAAGGCTTACGGTGATACAGTTTTATCAAAAATACGAGTCTACGAGTGGTACAAAGCCTTCAAATAGGGCCGAGAGATTGTTGAAGACATCGCTCGTTCTGAACTCCCTTCGAACTCTTYTACTGATGAAAATATTAAAAAAGTGAAGAATATGGTGCTTGAAAATGGTTGGGCAAGTGTTAGAGAGATGACAAGAGAGCTCGACATCTCYCGCGTGTCCGTTCGAATAATTTTGGTAGATATTTTTTTCAAAAAGAGATATCTTTGGACATGCTAGATCGTGCGAATTCCGATCGCTCATTCATGGATAGCATCGTAAATGTCGATGAAAAATAGGTCTAGTTTSACATACAAAGAAGTCAACAATCATAGGAACGGAGGGAGAAAATGAGGCGAAACCAGATAAACAACGCCAAACCGCTCCAAAATCAATGTGATTCTCATTATGTTTTTTATACTCTCGCAACACAGTTGCTAAAGAGAGTATTATAGTTTTGTTCACATAACGGTTGTTTGTAAG